GCGCGCGGGCAGCGCGTGTTCAAGGATGTGGAGCACCTGTACAACGTCGAGATCCTGCGGCTGCCGGTGGCGCTCCGCGAGATGAACTGGCTCGACTACCTCGGTACGGGACGGGACTGGGGACGGGGCCGGGGCCGGTACTGGGCTGGCACTGGGCTGGCGGGGGCACGTTTTCCCTTAGGCGATAAAAACCAATGGCAATAAAGGAGCAGCCGGCATCGGATCTTCTCTCTGGAATCCCCCAGGCAGGCGGCCCGCGGGCTGTTCGAAGCACTGCCCTCTTTGTCTGAGGCTGCTCACTCGCTGCTAAGAAAAGTGGTTTGTGCTGGCTTTTTGCACCCTAGTGGTGACGTACTAAAGCATGTCTATGTATACGGTACAGGCTGTCTTAGATATGTATTGATTTTTTAAAAATATCTTCTTTTTAGCTAAAGGAGGAAGCAAAAAGGTGTTGGAAGAGGCAGCAACGGTAGGTTTCTAGCATAAACGTTAAACTTTCCTGATGGCGTTGTGTACCTCTGTAGGAAATGAAGGGTTTCTTGAGCCTGTAGGACCATTGCAGTAGCAGAGGTTACATAAATTCTTTTACAAACGCTGCTTTAAGACTCGATGGTGAGAGATGCCTGTTGTATCCAATACAGAATTTGCGTGCTTATACTGCTCCTTGTCAGTCTTTCCTTACCTGCTTGATTTCACTCCCAGATCCCTGAGACCACACACGCTTTTCAGTAAACTAAAGCACTTCCCAATTGGTTGAGCAGCAGGGCGTAGGTGGAGCGTACTTGCAGCTGCCAAATAAGGCGCGTTAGTCCCGAATGGCATGCAGGCCTCACATGTTGTGGTCACCTCCAGAATAACATGAAAGGTCCCAGTTTGAGCACAACAGAGAACATGGAGGCATTCTTGCTATAAAATAATTAGGGATTTGTTCTACAGCTTGGACTTAGAACTATATGCTACTGATAATCCTAATGGTGTCGTGACTGTTTTTAATTTTAGGCAGACTTGGAAATAACAGAAATAAACAAGTTAACAGCAGAAGTTATCCAGCCTCCTTTAAAAATCATCAAGAAAGGTCAGTTTGTTTTAAGCATTGCGATGACTTCAGTGAGATGAAAGCACGACATGGTTTACATACTGTGAATAATAACTCGGTTCTTACTTACATCCCTCAATATATTTAAAGACAGGAAAATAATCCTACTTTTATCCCTGCTATCTGCAGTAGCTCTACTTAATTTTATTAAAACACTCAAAATAGTGTTCTGTCAACCATTTGGATTACACTGGAATTTGGATTTCGGAAGCAAATTGTTGCCAAAAGTGCTTGTGGTTGTTTACTGTTTACCTCCACTGCTAACTGATAATGTAAAGCTGTTATTTATTTTCAACTTCGATAACACTTTCTCATTCTAGTGGAAAAATCTAAGCAGGATATTGAAGCTATTGAAGAAGCAGCAGAGCCTCCTTTGCTTCCTCTAGCAAAGAAAGCAAAACATGATAACCAATGTCTTCCAGAGCTAGAAGCTGAAAACATTAATCCAAGAACTGGAAAGGTAAATAGCTATTCTTTGTGATGACTTTATTCCCAAGATAAAAACTACTTACTGAGATGATGCCTATGATAGTATAGCTGTCCAGGATACTTTGAGGGGGACTTCAAAACAGGTATCGCTTCCCGAAACGTCTAGCGATGGGAGAAGGTCACAGAAGCTTGTATGGTGTTTGTTTCTGGACTCTTGTGCCATAAAAAGGAGCCTATTGAGCCAAACATTTTGTATGGAAGCCTTTGTTTGTTGTGGACTCAGCTGTCCCACGAGAGTGAAGTAACTGATTTGGTGAGTAATGTGTGTTTCAGGTGAAGGCATCCACTAAAAAAGTGCCAGTGTCCAGGAGCAGAAGAGCTCCTTCAGCAAGAGTGAAGCGCATGAGTAAAAGGTAATAGGGGATATCTTTTTCACTGGATTTCAGAAATGGAGAATAAATGTATAGTGCTAACATAACTCTTAAATGGAATGGCGTATGGTTTAGTAGGCTGGTTGATGTAGTTGTGGCATGCTATAGGAAAAAAACAGTGATCTGACAGTAAATGAAAGATGGGCAACTTCCTCTCCTGTGATGACCAGCTGTCCCTAGCTTTGGGGTTTACTTTTGATTAGTAAGAACCTCTGGTTTTCTGTGGTGATAACCTCATTCAAGTCTTTGATAAGATAGTGCTTGTGTGTTAGTTAAAAGTATTATTATGAGCAGATGTTTGTTTATTTCCCTTTAACAGATCAAGCAAAAACAACTTTATCACTCCAGCTACTGGTAGAATTGTTGATCTCTGTGCTCAGGGAGGTACCTCCATGGTCACACCCAGATTTGATTCCAGGTTTGTATTCTGTTAATCTCTTATAGAGGGGAGTGCCTTGCCATTTGCTGTATGTATGTATCTGTCATCTATTTGCAACACAATCCTTAGTGGCTCTTTGAACCTGAAATGAAAGACTTTTAGTCAAAGCGCTTTGAGTAATCGCGGTGAAATTACTTTCCTATAACTTTTGTTTCAGAATTTTCAAGACGCCGGGTTTGCGCACACCTGCAGTAAATGAACGTGTTTACACCATCTCTGCCAATGGCAGTCCCCTTGCTGACAGCAATGATATCTTCATTACAGTCCCTGTTGGAGGAGGGGAGGTAAATCGGAAACTTTAATCTGTAAAATCTATGCTGAAGGGATAGCTTGTAACTTCTTGGGGACCTTAACCGGTTTCAAGTCATCCACTCTTGTCTCTTTAGTTGTGCCACTGCAGTTTATCAGGGGATCGATCAAGCTTAAAAAGAACCTTGAAAGATTTTTAGTCAGAAGTGGGAGCTGATCAGAGCAGAATGTAGAATGATGTTTTGCTGTGTGTTTAAGTAACATTTAAAGTAGCTTCTGCTGGCAGCAATGTGTTAATGCACTGCAAGGAAGGTATGAGATGAGCTTCTGGTTAAGCTGAACGTAGCTCTCTGCCTGTATGTGGTCTTCTAGTATGCTTGGATTTTATTTTTTTATTTTTTATTTTTTTGCTGCTTCCGGCTACTACAGCTGACCAAACAGAAAACCTAAGGTTTGGTTTGTGTTTTTTTCCCACAGAGCATTCGTTTAACAGCAAGTGATTTGACCAAGAAGAATCTTCTTCATCTGAATCCGGAGGCCCAAGGAATTATGAAGAAGCTATCAGTAAGTCTATGTATTTTTGTCAGTCATGACCTGAAGTTGTAAGGCAGTGTTGTCACGCTGTCACTAGTCACTGGGCTGTTGAACTGTGGTAAAAACTCCTTATTACACCCTCCACCACCAC